CCAATCATCAGTCATTTGTGAGTGCTGTGCTTGTTGAATGTCCTTCCCTATAAGTGTGCTGAAAGTCTGTTGTCAATTTGTTTACTGTAAAATAGCATTGTATCTGGTCAAACACCATTTTTTACTGAGGGTTGGTAACCGGCTGATTGGTCGGCTATTTGAGCCAGTAAAGGGGGCTTTACTATTCTTAGGTAGCGGAATGACTTGTGCTTCCCTCCAGGCCTGAGGGCACACACTTTCTAGTAGGCTTAATTGAAGATATGGCAAATAGAAGTGGCAATATAGTCCGCTATTATCCTCAGTCATTTTCCATCCAAGTTGTCAGACCCCGGTGGCTTGTCATTGTTGATAGACCATTTTTTCACCTCTTCCACACTCACTTTACGGGATTCAAAATTACAATGCTTATCTTACATAATTTGGTCAGATATACTTGGATGTGTAGTGTCAGCGTTTGTTGCTGGCAGGTCATGTCTAAATTTGATCATCTTGCCAATGAAAAAATAATTAAAGTAGTTGGCAATATCAGTGGGGTTTGTGATGAATGAGCCATCTGATTCAATTAATGATGGAGCTAAGTTTGCCTTTTTGCCCAAAGTTTAGTTTAAGGTGCTCCAAAGCTTTCTATTATCATTCTTTATATAATTTATCTTTGTTTCATAGTATAGTTTCTAGTGAGATCCTATTGGCGCGTTCTAGCATTTATTTGCATATTTCCGTTAGGGAACGCCTACTCTGTGAAGTGTGCGTGTGCAATAATTTTTATACACTGAACAAAAGTATAAACGCAACATGTTAAGTGTTGGTCCCATGTTTCATAAGCGGAAATAAAAGATCCCAGAAATGTTCCATATCCAGCTTATTTCTCTCAAATGGTGTGCACAAATTTGTTTACATCTCTGTTAGTGAGCATTTCTCCTTTGCCAAGATAATCCATCCACCTGACAGGTGTGGCATATCAAGACGCTGATCAAACACCATGATCATTACACAGGTGCACCTTGTGCTTGGGACAATAAAAGGCCACTCTAAAATGTGCAGTTTTGTCACACAACACAATGCCACATATGTCTCAAGTTTTGAGGGAGCGTGCAATTGGTATGCTGACTGCAGGAATGTCCACCAGAGCTGTTGCCAAATAATTTAAAGTTCATAATCTGCCTCCAATGTCGTTTTAGAGAATTTGGCAGTATGTCCAACCGGCCTCACAACCACAGGCCACGTGTAATCATGTCAGCCCAGGACCTCCACATCCGACTTCTTCACCTGCGGGATCATCTGAGACCAGCTTCCCGGACAGCTGAGGAAACTGTGGGTTTGCACAACCGAAGAATTTATGCGCAAACTGTCAGAAACCGTCTAAGGAAAGCTCATCTGCTTTCTAGTCGTCCTCACCAGGGTCTTGACCTGACTGCAGTTCGGAGTCATAACCGACTTCAGTGGGCAAATGCTGACCTTCCATGGCCACTGGCACGCTGGAGAAGTGTGCTCTTCACGGATCAATTCTGGTTTCAACTGTACCGGGCAGATGGCAGACAGCATGTATGGCGTCGTGTGAGCAAGCAGTTTGCCGATGTCAACGTTGTGCCCATGGTGGCAGTGGGGTTATGGTATTGGCAGTGTTAGGTTCTGAACAAAGGTTACTCTCCCGAGTGGCGCAGTGGTCTAAGGCACTGTATCGCAGTGCTAGCTGTGCTACTAGAGATCCTGGTTCGAATCCAGGCTCTGTCGTAGCCGGCTGCGACCGGGAGACCCATGGGGCGGTGCACAATTGGCCCAGCGTCATCCAGGGTAGGGGAGGGAATGGCCGGCAGGGATGAAGCTCAGTTGGTGGAGCATGGTGTTTGCAACGCCAGGGTTGTGGGTTCGACTCCCACGGGGGGCCAGTATGAAATAAAAATGTTTTTAAAAAATGTATGCACTCACTAACTGTAAGTCGCTCTGGATAAGAGTGTCTGCTAAATGACTAAAAATAAAAATAGATTACAAAAATTACAAATGAAAATAAAAAAAATACAGAGTAAAAACTCACGGACAACTAGAAAATGCTCAAACCAAGTTTATTCACCCACTGGGTCATACAGGTGCAAAGAAAAATACATGTTTACACAAGCACATATATTTACACTCTCCAACTAGGCGGAGTCAACTCCTTGCACATCTAGACAGCCAATACATCTCTGTTGCTAGTCTGGAACTTAATTGGTTCTTCTCACTGGTGTAGTCATGGCCCTGCCTGATGCTAGAACCTTTGTGGGCGTGGAAGTATATGTGTGTGAAATAGGACAGTTCCTTCTCACTTCATCTGACCTGACCTCAGGCTGAATTCCTCGCTCCTCCCTAATCCACGCCTGTCCTACCTTATCAGTGACTGAAACCAGACTGTTGCCCTTTGCCTCCCTCCATAGGAGCCATGAGATTTAACAATAACATGTTTGACAGAATGTAAAATGTCTGCACTCCCCCTTGTCTCACTCAGTAACTTTCCATACACTTAGTTCTTAACCACCCTCCATTGACCCCAACATATACATTCCTTATACATGTAAAGTAATCAATAAGTTCTAGTATGGTAACATGAATAAGTATATTTCAAGCTAGAACCCAACAGCAGGCATAAACTATGAACAACGAACGCAATTGCATTTTATTTGAATGCACAGAGATACCGTGACGAGATCCTGAGGCCCATTGTCGTGCCATTCATCTGCTGCCATCACCTCATGTTTCAGCATGATAATGCACGGCACCATGTCGCAAGGATCTGTACACAATTCCTGGAAGCTGAAAATGTCAGAGTTCTTCCATGGCCTGCATACACACCAGACATGTCACCGATTGAGCAAGTTTGGGATGCTCTGGATCGACATGTACAACAGCGTTTTCCAGTTTCCGCCAATATCCAGCATCTTCGCACAGCCATTGAAGAGGAGTGGGACAACATTCCACACGCCACAATCAACAGCCAGGTCAACTCTATGCGAAGGACATGTGTCGCTCTGCATGAGGCAAATGGTGGTCACACCAGATACTGACTGGTTTTCTGATCCACACCCCTACTTTTTTTTTTTTACGTTTCTGTGACCAACAGATGCATTTCTGTATTCCCATTCATCTGAAATCCATAGATTAGGGCCTAATTTATTTATTTCAATTGACTGATTTCCTTATATGAGCTGTAACTCAGTAAAATCTTTGAATTTGTTGCATGTGGTGTTGATATTTGTGTTCAGTGTAGATACAATCTATGGCAATAACTAAATTCGCACTTGCGCTCCTTCTGAACAACACCATTTATTGAAACTTTGGCAAGGAATAAAGTTTACAAAACGCAGTCCACTCTGTTTGGTACAGATTGTAGTTTTGGAAACGGAAAACTGTATGGAGATCAACTGTATGATGAGAAAATTAGCAGAATGTCGGCCAAAATCCATCCTCTGATCACCATATTTGGTAGTGAGTGGAAACGCCAACCGGATGCTTCACATTTATACATGCAGTGAATTATCTGCCTCATTGTTCTATTAGCGCTATGGGTACACTCGCAATAACCGCGCCAGTCCACCCATTATGCCGGCTTCCACTAGTTACCACAGCCACAAAGTCCAAATTGGCTATATAAAAAAAAAAATTAGGGTAAGGCATAAAGTTAGCAGTGTGGTTAAGGTTAGGATTAGAGTTAGGTTTATAATACCATTTTTAGAAGAGAAATTGTAGAAATAGGCTGGGTTTATGACTTTGTGGCTGTGGTAACTAGTGACGACCCCCATTATGCCATCATTGACTTGAATGGGGACGCCCGTTCTATTCATTGTTATTTCTATGGTGTATGTATCAGGTAATCTGCGCATCAAATAAGTAGCCAATATAATGAGGACATATTATATTAACGCATTTTCATAACTGTTTGGGCCTTCCTTTGAGTCAGTATCAGTATGGACATGACTTGTGTTGTCAAGAGAAGCATTAGTTCACAGTGCAAAGTTAGTAGCATTTAGGCTTAGCCTAAAATTAGCCTAAATCTGCTACATATTGTGTGTGTCCGCATACGGATATTCTCTAATGGACTTGCCAGAAGTTACTGCTTCCTGTCCATGTCAACAGCTTTGGCCTCTAACCCACACTGCAGCCCTCCAACATACATTTTAGTCATTTAACAGACGCTCTTATCCAGAGTGATTTACAGGAGCAATTAGGTTTAAATGCCTTGCTCAAGGGTACAAGTCGGCTCGGGATTCAAACCAGCATGCATGTACACACACACACACACACACACTAATGTTTATCTGTTGTTGTGACTCACTCACACCTGGTCCAAAGTCATACGTCTAAAATATCAGCTAGTTTCATTTTCAGTGTGTGTGTGTGTGTGTGGGAGGGGGGGGGGGGGGGGCTGGCTGACTCAGCTTTGACTGAGTAATAGTGAGGCGAGTATCATGCTGATTATAACGTGATATGAGGCCCACCTTCCACCCATCATCACACACGAACACACACAAATCTATTAGCCACTTACCTGTGTGGGTGGGGGGTATACAGCTCCAATAACAACATCTGGTGGAGAACCAATTCATGTCTTTCCTCCTGCCCACACACACAGCAGGTTGTTTTAGGTGCGCTTGACTGGCCAACTGCACCATGGGCATTTACCCCGTTTCACTTTCAAGAGCGTGAAGGTACACGTCATCTCTCTTCCGCTTTCTCTCTGACACACACACACACGTACACACACGTGCACACACACACACCATAACACCACTCAATTGAGAGGACCTAGTGAAGACAAATATAATGTTTTTGCACATTTTATTACAAACATGTTCAGCCGTATAAAGCATACATTAATACCATAACAACAGTGAATGGTGGCAAAGCAACAAATATTTACCCCAAAGACCTCAGGACATTATAAAGAACAACTGACCAGCAGACTTCTCCTTACTCTCTCTCACACATATATACACACACACATAATATTAGGCTATAGCCTATTGTCTTTGTTAGCTGGAGTGCAGACTAGATGATTCTGACTCTGTTGTCGTGGACGTCATGGCGCCTGTTCGTCTACGCGGGAGAATCTTCAGGCTGGAGGTGCGGGTAAGTGTGAGGGCGCGGCGAGCAGAACTCTTGAACCCCACTCCCAGGAAGGCATAGAGCAGCGGATTCAAGCAGCAGTGAGCATACGCCATTGGTTCAGACACCGCTAACCACACCCCCAGGCCTGACTCCAGCGTACAGCCACGAGGGATCAGCTCCAAGCGGAGGAGCGCATCCACGGCGATGCCAATGCAGTACGGCAGCCAGCAGAGGAAGAAACAGAGAACCAGAGCCACAGTGGTCCGCACCGCCCTCCTCTTCTGCCTCTGACCCCCCAACGGCCCCCGGGTCAGCCTGGACACGATCACGCAGTAACACACCAGCAGCACCAGGCCCGGCACCACCAGCCCCACCAGCACCGTCTGCAGGTGGAACAGGGACACCCACAGTGGGGCGTTCTCCGGCGGGTAGAGCCTCGTGCACACCATCTCCCCCTCCCCTGCCTCCTGGGTCCGAGCGAACACCATGTCTGGGATGGCCAGGAGACCAGCAGGCAGCCAGGCGCCAGCGTACACCAGCCTGCATGCCAGCAGCTGCCGGGTGTGTGTGGTGCTGGTTTCTGTGGCTTTGACTACTGCAAGGTAGCGGTCCAGACTGATGAAGGCCAGGATCAGCACACTGCCGTACAGGTTCACTGTGTAGATGACGTGCACGCCCACGCACATGACCGCTCCGACGCGCCAGTCCCCGAGTGCAGCGTCCACAGCCCAGAAGGGCAGTGCCAGAACGAAGAGCAGGTCTGCAGCGGAGAGATGCAGCCGGTAGCGGTCCGTTAGACTGAGCCGGGCCTTCCGCTGGCAGCCCAGTACGAACACCACCAGGCCGTTCCCAGTGATCCCCAGGGTGAAGATGAAACCGTACACCACCGGGAGGAAGACACGCTGCACGCTGGGGCTCAGCAGCTCACGGTCACACGGCTCCTCAAATCCAGTGCCGAAATCACCCAAGCCAGAACCAAAACCGGAACTCGTGTCATTGTAGTCATAATCCGATTCTGTTATCACAAAGTGCTTCAGAGAGAGGAAGAAAGAGAGGATAATTGAGCAAACGTGCAAATACATGTGCAAAACTCTAAGAACAGATTCTACAATCTGATAAGTGAATAACATGATAACTGAGATAAATGTTACAGTAAAGTCCCATAAAAGTTTGTTAACATGGTCTAAATACTGAATGAAACCGTACCTCATAATAGGACATGATGGAGCCAGCTTACTCTCTGTCTCTCTGTTCTTTCCAGCCCTTTTCTCTTTTTCTTCTCAGAGTGGAGAATAGTTTTGTACCCGGTGAGGTTAAATAGCCGTGCCAACACCGCTCCCTCACTTGCTCCGCCCCCAACACACACACACACATACACACATCTGTGTCCCGCGGAAATGCTTTTCCTGTTTTCGAGGTGTCAGGTGCTGAAAGTGGCTCTGTCACAGGATATTGAGTGTGTGTTTGTGTTTGTGTGTGTGTGTGCGTGTGTGTGCCTTTGTTTATTGTTTAGGCTCCTTTTCATCAAATCTGTGAGAATAATATTGTTTGTAATAGCATGATGATATAACACTGTTGTCTAATTGACAGTCTACCAAAGTAAAGAGGAAACGTTATAAACACATTCTCACTGTGCAGCTGTAGTGCGTGTCTACTGTGTATGTATATGGGGGTACAGCTGCACTGTGTATGTGTGCGTGTGTGCGTGTGTGCATGTGTTTGTGTCTCTGTGTAAGAGAGAGAAATAGAGAGAGAGAAATAAAGAACTGTTTTGGTGTTGCACCTCTTAGTCCCTTTTACACAGAGCTGAACAGTCCTGCATGAGTAGCTGGAGTTTCGGCTCTGTGAGAGAATTCTCACACGTGCGTATTCTGATATGAAATGGTTATGATTGTGTGTGAGATATATTGTGCTCAAGAATGTCAGATGCTTATCTACTCCCATTCTCTGTTCAGTAAACGAACAGTGTGTCTTATAACCCTGTCGCCTCTCAGTGCGCCAGTCTATGCGCCACATGCTCAACTACAGATTGGTGCGAGATCTGGAGGCGTAGGGTGCCATTGCTGCATTCTGGGTGCTCAGTGTACCCACAGCCGGTGTGTGAATTGTCTACAGCAAGGATCATCAACTAGCTTCAGCCACGGGCCGATTATTTATTGAGTGGATGGTAGGGGGGCGGAATATAAGTACAGATAATTTGTAGACTACAAATTGACCTCAGGAATCCCAAACAGATGTAATATTTGACTAAAACATAATCATTTAAAACATTGCCTACATTTGTATACAATCACGTCTCTCTTTATTTTGCATGGGAATACTTAGGAACAGATTTTCAAAATTAAAATCACTTGGAACTGATTTCCTGGTGTTTTTATAGTCTTTTATGTCTAACAATGAAAATTGTACAAAAATAATAATATACACCAGTGCTTCTCAATTATTTTCTGTTACGCCCTCCCTAGGAAGAAGTAAACATTTCGCGCCCCCCAACTCTCCGCCACGACTGTAAATAGTATAATTTGTCTATCAAATTGTTATAAGTACACCTCTGCATAACATTGTATCCTAATTAACATTAAAGAAAAAAATAAATAAATAAATAAAGAAATATAGATCAACTTACAACTGTCAGTAGCTGAGTGTAGATGCGGTGAGGAATCAAGCGCAGGAAACACGGGCGTTCGTCAACAGACTTTAGTAACAAAAATAACAGCACCAAACAGGCGAACAGCCAACCCAACCGGGAGGCAAAATACAAAGTACGCACAACACACACAGTGCGTAAAAATGACGATAGCGCACACAGTGCGGACTCTCGGAAAAACAACAATCCTGAGAGTAATACCAAAGAGCAACAGCTTGACAAATAAACAATACCACATAACACCTGCCCCCACACACGAAAACTAAATAGGCAACCAAATCAAACACTAACAAGGGACAGGTGTACAAACAGACAAAACCAAACAAACATGAAACATCGAACGGTGGCAGCTAGTACTCCGGGGACGACGACTGCCGAAGCCTGCCCGAACAAGGAGGAGGAGCAGCCTCGGCCGAAACCGTGACAGTACCCCCCCCTTGACGCGCGGCTCCAGCCGTGCGCCGATCCCGGCCTCTGGGACGACCAGGACGACGCGGAGCAGGGCGCGTAGGATGACCCCGATGGAACTCGGTCAGCAGGGACAGGTCTAATATGTCCCTCCTCGGCACCCAGCACCGCTCCTCCGGGCCGTACCCCTCCCACTCCACGAGATATTGGAGACCCCCCATCCGGCGTCTCGAATCAAGGATGGACCTCACAGTGTACGCCGGAGCCCCCTCGATGTCCAACGGGGGCGGAGGAGTCTCTTCTATCTCATAGTCCTGGAGTGGACCAGCTACCACCGGCCTGAGGAGAGACACATGGAACGAGGGGTTAATATTCCTGTAATCAATAGGCAGTTCTAACCTGTAACACACCTCGTTCAACCTCCTCAGGACTTTGAATGGCCCCACAAACCGCCGACCCAGCTTCCGGCAGGGCAGGCGGAGGGGCAGGTTTCTGGTCGAGAGCCAGACTCGATCTCCAGGTGCGTATACAGGCCCCTCACTGCGGTGGAGATCGGCGCTCGTCTTATGCCGACGGATGGCCCGCTGCAGATGAACGTGGGCAGCGTTCCATGTCTCCTCCGAGCGCCGCACCCACTCATCCACCGCAGGGGCCTCGATCTGGCTCTCGTGCCAAGGTGCCAGAACCGGCTGGTACCCTAACACACACTGGAAAGGGGTTAGTTGGGTGGAGGAGTGGCGGAGAGAGTTCTGCGCCATCTCGGCCCACGGAACGTATCTCGCCCACTCCTCCGGCCGGCCCTGGCAATAAGACCTCAGAAACCTACCCACATCCTGGTTGACACGTTCAACCTGCCCATTACTCTCCGGGTGGTAACCCGAGGTAAGGCTCACCGAAACCCCCAACCGTTCCATAAACGCTCTCCACACTCTGGAGGTGAACTGGGGGCCTCGATCAGACACTATATCCTCGGGTACCCCGTAATGCCGGAAGACATGGGTAAACAGAGCCTCAGCGGTCTGTAGGGCAGTAGGGAGACCCGGCATGGGAAGTAGACGACAGGCCTTCGAGAACCGATCCACAACGACCAGGATGGTAGTATTCCCCTGTGAGGGGGGAAGGTCTGTAACAAAGTCCACCGAGAGGTGGGACCAGGGTCGTTGTGGAACGGGCAGGGGTTGTAGCTTACCCCTGGGCAAATGTCTGGGCGCCTTACACTGGGCACACACCGAACAGGAGGAGACATAAACCCTCACATCCCTGGCTAACGTTGGCCACCAGTACTTAGTGCTAAGGCAGTGAACTGTCCGGCCGATACCTGGATGTCCAGAGGAGGGGGACGTATGAGCCCAATAAATGAGGCGATCGCGTACCTCGAACGGAACGTACGTCCGACCCACTGGACACTGTGGAGGACTTGGGTCGGTGCGTAACGCCCGCTCGATCTCTGCATCGACCTCCCATACCACCAGTGCCACCAGACAAGACTTTGGTAGTATGGGAGTGGGCTCAACGGACCTCTCCTCCGTGTCATACCGCCGAGACAGGGCATCTGCCTTCCCGTTCTGGGACCCAGGGATGTAAGTGATTTTAAACACAAACCGGGCTAGAAACATAGTCCAGCGGGCCTGGCGAGGATTCAGTCTCCTAGCTGCCCGGATGTATTCCAGGTTACGGTGGTCAGTCAAAACGAGGAAAGGCTGTTGAGCCCCCTCAAGCCAATGCCTCCACACCTTTAGGGCCTGTACCACGGCTAACAGCTCCCTGTCCCCTACGTCATAATTCCGCTCCGCCGGACTGAGTTTCTTAGAATAAAAAGCACAGGGGCGGAGTTTAGGTGGTGTGCCAGACCGTTGTGAGAGGACGGCCCCAATACCGGCCTCGGACGTGTCTACCTCTACCTGGAATGGTAAAGCGGGATCCGGATGCGCCAACACCGGCGCCGAGGTAAACAGGTCCTTCAGTCTCCCAAAAGCCCTGTCTGCCTCAGCTGACCACCGCAAGCGCACCGGACCCCCCTTCAACAGAGACGTTATGGGAGCTGCCACCTGTCCAAAACCCCGGATAAACCTCCGGTAGTAATTCGCAAAACCCAAGAACTGTTGCACCTCTTTCACAGTGGTTGGGGTTTGCCAATTACGCACAGCTGACACCCGGTCAACCTCCATCTTCACCCCTGACGCAGACAACTGATAACCCAAAAAGGAGACCGACTTCTGAAAGAACAGACATTTCTCTGCCTTGACATATAGGTCATGCTCCAACAGCCTCCTCAACACTCGGCGCACCAGGGCTACATGCTCTGCTCGGGTAGAACTGTGCACCAGAATATCGTCGATGTACACGACTACTCCCTGCCCCTGCATGTCCTGGAAAATCTCATCGACGAAGGATTGGAAGACTGAGGGAGCATTCATTAACCCATATGGCATGACGAGATACTCGTAATGACCGGAGGTCGTGCTAAACGCTGTCTTCCATTCATCGCCCTCTCTAATGCGCACCAAGTTATATGCGCTCCTGAGATCCAATTTTGTGAAGAACTGAGCACCGTGTAATGATTCCGTCATAGTCACAATCAGAGGAAGTGGATAGCTGTACTTCACCGTAATCTGATTGAGACCGCGGTAATCAATACACGGGCGCAGACCTCCATCCTTTTTCTTCACAAAAAAGAAGCTTGAGGAAGCGGGTGAAGTGGAGGCCCGTATGTATCCCTGTCTCAGAGACTCGGCGATGTAAGTTTCCATCGCCTTCCTCTCCTCTTGAGACAAGGGATACACATGGCTCCGCGGGAGGGCTGCTCCTAACTGGAGATCTATCGCACAATCCCCCTGTCTATGAGGCGGCAGCTGCGCCGCCCTAGTCTTACTAAACACCAGTGTCAAATCCTCATACTCGGGGGGAATGTGCAGTGCAGGCATTAGATTCGGACTTTCCACCGAGGTCGCCCCTATGGAAACACCCAGACACAGCCCCTCACACTGAGCAGACCACCCTTTAAGAGCTTTCTCTCGCCACGAAATAGTAGGATCATGGGTAATCAACCAGGGAAGCCCCAGCACCACCGGATACGCAGGAGAGTCAATCAGATAGAGCTGAATCGTCTCCTCATGACCCCCCTGCGCCTCCATCTTAAGGGGCGCTGTGACCTCCCTAATCAACCCAGATCCTAACGGACGGCTATCTAGGGCATGTACAGGGAAAGGCTTAT